CCAAAGCTTTTATGTAATAACGAGAAACGCAACGTTCAAACGCTCTAGATCCCTAATTAGGAAAGAGCCGCGATTTTATGCTCGATCGTTATTGAAATGTATTGAGTGATTAATGCTGCGGTTACTGCGGGAAAACTTTATCGCGAGTACCAAATGGAATGTTGGCTGCTGGCATACTGGATATATATATATGTATATATAGGATTGAAAATATTGCGAATATTCTGACACGTTCCATTGGACCGTTACGCCACGTCGAAATAGTACGGAATTCCATACTAATGCTTTGGAAAACTGTCGTAAACGTTGGAAAAGTTCTAAACGAGTCTGGCATTGCCAGTTTCCTATATATTCACGTTGATGTAACGTGCCTCCGTGAATATCCTGGAAAACACATATGTGGCTTGTGAGATACCGATGAAATAACGTCTGCTATTTCCAGCACTGATTCTCCACCGTCTGCTTCCATTCTCCCGGTCCTGACAGAAACGATATAATCATACGCAAAATATATGTCTATGTATATATATATATATATAGATACTTTTTCTTTATATCGACAGGTCGTTTTGACAACAAATTTTTGTTTTTGTAATCAACTTTTCTTTTACGCAAATTTCATAGCTGTGTACTAAGTATATTTATGTCGTTGGTATAATAGGGGATGAATGGAGAAATTGAGTAAGTTTTATAATAAATATAAAAAAAATTGGTGAAATATAAGCACTGAGTTCGTACTTGCCTTTTTTTGGTGACTTTCAGTATTTTTGTAAATTCAATTTTTTATATTGCTAAGACTTCTTCATAGCCACGTAGCTGGATTAAATAAAGCGTATCCGACATAAATGTATCAATGGGTTCCGCAATATTTATCATGCCTTCGACTGTTACTTATCGTGGGGGTAGTAATGAAAAAATTATTATTAAAAAAATGAAATATAATTTTTGCAATTATGTCATTGAGTGGGTTAATCGTAATTATATTGATTGAGATAATTATTCAGTCAATTTTACACCATTATGTCTATTTATTTATGCAGGAACTTAATTACGTAACGTGTTAATTGTTAATTTCATCTTCCTCTACCCTTGCAATTAGGGTGGGACAATCCGGTCAAGGGTGTCCGTCTATAGATTATATCTGACAGAGGGTTGTTTATCAGTGTTTGTGATACGATGCGACGAAGTTAATAGTAATTATGAAAATTTTTAATTAATTCAATCGTCACGTCAGTCAAGCAACGATACGTTGCGACATATAAATTGAATGCGACAGGTAAATAATAAAATAAACTTCATTTTCATACTTAACTTCTAAAACTTTTATCTCCCTTGACTAAATTTAGTTCTGCTGACTTTTCTCACTTTGGGGATTCATTCCTTTTAGAGATCATTAACCTGATCGGAAATCATTTCCGTGAGATTACTGATATACCTACGAATATATCTACCCTGGCTGTCCCCATCGTAAAAACTTTTCTCCATAACGTTTCCGCGATTTCCCTAACATTATTACCAGCATGAGTTTCCCTTCTGTATGATTATTATTTAATGGACAATTTTTTATAGTCCTAAAATGCCCAGAAAGCTTAACACGGCAAAATTATAAGATAATTAAATTTCACGAATTATGATATATTTATAGGAGTTTTCTTCATCGAGTATATATGTATATTCAACGTAAAATTTATATTTGAATAATCGCAGGGTATATATAGTTTTTTTTTTATACTGATAACGTTTTTATGGATAACGACTCTGCGAGAGCGAAGACAAACTTTTCAATTCGTTAATAATTTTGCAAGTTGTAAAAATCATGATGGACGTCTCGTTTCTCGTGTCGTCTTGACTTCGTTTTCATTTTCCCTCAAATTAATTTCATTCGAAATGAAAACTCTCGAAGGATAATTAAGCCCGTCGTAACTTTCGAGATACTCGTATTGTCGAAAACGCGACTCCGTTAAAAATTTAGTATAGACAAACTAAGCCCGATAAAATTATCGCGATTTTCCGTGAGTACATTTCCGTTGTCGACTGTTTCTAACTGAACGTAATGATTGGCTCGTTTCACGCGCAGTGATTCGTCGATGATGACGGAGCGAAATTCTAACTCGATTAACTGTTATGCAGACTGTCGACCAACGGCGATTGCCTGTCTCGTATCATTCGGGTATGAAGAAAGAAGAAAGGAAGTGAAAATGAAAAAAAAGTCAGTTCCTATAATGGCCTCTGACAGTCGATAAATGTGACTTTCGATTCTCATCTAGTACGCTCAATAAATCCGAGATCAAAGCTGCAATTTTTCGGATGGAAATCGCGTCAACGGTGATGACGTCTTGTCGCTGCCTGGAACGACGATGGAAAAATCCATTATGGCCGCCGATACGTTCACAGACAATTTACGTTTATTTTTTCAACTGTTCGGAAAGTTCGCGATTATTAAGGACAATTTAATTTAAAACCCAGTACAAAATCCATTTGTAAATATTAAAAGTCCGACGGAGATACAAATTAATTTGGTTGTGTTACCAATTCGAAAATTTTTTAATTCTTCAAGCTTTACTCGTTTCAATGGCTGCCTCCTACACGGTATTTTAATTACGAACAATTTTCCGAAACTATTTACTTATTTTGCTCCACCCCTCAATCGATATACCAACGAACGGACATTAACGAAATAATAAATTTTAGTATTGTCCTCTAATTTAAATTTACTGTCTGACGTCACGACTAGCACTTAAATATTGAAAATACAAAAATGGAGATATACTTTATCGATTTATATATTTTTAGCCTTTATTTCACACGTAATGTATTTCCACGTTTTTATAAATTTTTTTTCTATTTTAGGTTATGGCGGTTCAAAATCTGAATTGGTCTAAAATGCCCCCTGAATTACTATATATATATATTCTTTCAATTTTCTTTACCGACAGTACTAGCCGGAAGAAAACTAAAAGAAATTCCAGAATCAGCAAAATTTAATATTAAAACACCAGCAGGATTACAATGAAGCACAGGTACAAGGAACAGTTAATACACAGAGCCAAGAGAATAGCTATAGTTGTATCTTAAGACGTTTTAGACGGAGTAAACAAAATATCGCTGCGGAGAGATATACGTGCCGTGGCAGAAATTCCGAAGCTCTTCTCTCCGTATACGCAAGCTCTGTTTACACAGCGTGAGTGCAAGCGAGTTAACTGATAGCCGGTGTCTTCCATGCTGTAAAGCCTAAGCCTTCCATCGAGCTTTCCTAGGGACTTTCGTCCAAGAGATAGTACAGAAGCCCATAAAGCATTCCCGTGCTTCCCAATTCCACGGCATGACTCCCATCATCCTACAAGATTCCATAAGGGTGGTCGCCCTTCTACGATAAACACATAATCCCATGTATTCGCTCCGTTTAACAATAACGTACTACTCCATCCTACCAATTTCCATCTAAAAAATGCTAGCAATAAACTGGAACATCCATATATATTCCCTAGAGCACCGTTGCCAAACTGTCAACATACAGTTAGCGCCTAAAGTGCTTTGACATTCGTACCATCCTATTGGTCGATTACATCACAGCATACTTGTAGGTTATGGTATATATTCCTACAACGATAGATCAGCAAAGTCTAAATACACTTTAGCAATATCTTTACTCATAGTCAAGTATACCGTGCAAATACAGGAACCACTTTAGGCATAGTTACGTGGCTGTGTGTAGTGTGTATATATATATATATATATATATATGTATATACAAGTGTGAAACCGCAATGCTAGTAATTACGTCCGGACTCACGATGCACGAATATTTGAAGCTGTAAAGACGTTGCTATATACGCCAGTTTCAATTGCCAGGGTTTCTCATTGAATGTCCAAAAAGTTTATTGGACAAATTTCAAGGTAGATTCACATCAACTGGATTGACAATAAATTGTATATAGAATATAAGCAACATAATAAATCGTATTAAGCTGTCCTTACGTAGAAGGAATAATCATCGCGGACCAATTGCAAAGAAGTTTTTAAGGAAACAGAAGTTCGTGGCCAGCGGGTAAAACTAATGTTTATACATATGTCCCGCACATGGCACATACGGCCCGTGGTGGAAAAAGGTGATGGCTGTACGGTACGAGGAGGACGAGGAGGAACCAGAAGTATCAGGAATAGGAGTATGAGGTATAGAAAAGAAGTAGTAGTAGGTGGCAGGAGGAGGTTGAGGATAAAAAGAGGAAGCGTACTGAAATTTCCAATATTAGAACGGCGAGGCGAGAGACAGGCCAGATGTCTACTGTACTGACTGGTACGACTACATTTAGCTTGGTTTCATTACAAAAATGTCACGCACAGCTACACCGAACTTGCACGACATTCGATGCAATACCCGTGGCCATGGCGGCGGGCGATACCGGTTACGGGTAGAAATTGAAATTCGAACATAGAAGTATAGTAGGTGCCACAGCTTTTTTAGGTATGACAGAGCTAACCTCTACCTAGCTAACCAACAAGATGGTAAGAACAGCGAAGAGGTTAGGAGAGTGAATGATTTTAATAAAACCTAACCTATGCATCGTAAGAACTGAACCAGTAAAGTCAGTGGGTTAAAAGAGTTTAATTGAAAATAAAGTAGAAGCTTTTAATCTTTTACCTGTAGGTATACGTGTGATTATATATATATATTCACTATCCAGAATGCTATTCCAGTACGACGTGCAAGTGGTCGACACGCGTTTCCCGAGATCGATACGTTCGATACCCAAGCGAGCTTCGTTTTTTATTCCCTATAGACGCTCCATTTATTTTTCTCTTATTGCTTTCCATCGTCAGAAAACTTTATATCTATAGCTTTGCTATACGCGGATCCTAAGGATTTAACTGACAGGTCTTACATAACCTCTCTTACCTTTGATGTCCGCCAGTCTGGGCTTGAACGTACACAACGTAGACGTACCTCTAGCAGACGTGGGTTAAGGTACCTGATACGTGGTATAATTTTCTTCTTTACCTTATGATAATTTATCTACACGTCGTGTCTGTAGGTATCGATGATCCATGGGTTGTATGGTAAACCGGCGATCAAACATGGCAGACGTGCGCGCGCAGCGGGTGAATAATTCGAATGATTCTTTGAAGTTAATACGATGATTCGCGCTAATACCTAGCAAATATGTGTTATTTGCTTTATTGGGTGTAGGATAGAGCCATGCGAGTTCTCTGACGTTCATTGGAGTTGTGCATCTACGACGAGTCAGGTGTAATTTAATTCCATTATATCTACCACTGACCGATTCCTGTAAACTACAATAGTACCTAACCTGGAAACAAAAACGACCTGACCCCACGATTCGATCGATTAAACGCTTAATCGAGTACACTCCGATCCGCTGATTAAACTTTTTTCTCGGGGACGCGTACCACAAACTACCAGCGTGTTTAAATACACTTTTTTTTCTCACGCAGCCAACCGCGCGCCTGGGCCCCTATTGGCTACGTGGGTGGAGATCGTAAAAAGCATAATTGTCCCGAGCCACGTGGGAATAAAAGAAAAAAAAATCACCAGAGCAATAAGAATTTTTCAATTTCCTTCACAATCGTGTTACTTGAATTTGTACAAATTTGAATAATAAGTTACCATCAGAAGTACACAATATTATTTTTTTTTATTATATATTTACTTTGTCTCACTCTGAAAAAAGTTTACTAATAAAAATGGATCTACCAGTCAATTTTAATAGTTCCCCAGATATTCGGTATATAACAATCTGTCAAAATATAAAAAAAAAAATTAGCTCTGAACTAGTTTTTATTATGTTTACATGTAATTTCAGGTATTACGAAATTACACAACTAAGTCCATCTTACGTTCTGGGATACGTGAATGAGTGTGCGTGGCGCGTATATCCTCAGCTATACCGGTGGAGTTTCTGGCGCGACTCTTGATTCTCTTTGAACAGTCGGAAGCTGCCCGTAACACCTGACTGACTCGACAGACGCATATATGGAATTTTAGCAAAGAGAGAGAGAGAGACAGAGAGAGCAAAGCTACTGTGAGGTAAAGAAGAGGTGGTCCTGTGGAAGGTACAGCGTGGAATGGAGCAGAGGGAGAGAGAGAGAGAGAGACATAGGGAAAGAAAGTAAGATATACAGAGATTAACGTGAGAAGGAGTGAGAAGGAGAGAGGGAAAGAGCGAAAGATTAATAATATAGGAAGGCCAAAGCCATGCCACCCGCCCAACAAGCTTTCCTCTGCCTCTCTTCTGTTGCTAACAGTTAATCGATATAATACTTCGGTATAACACGCGCACACAACCTACTCTCTCTCTCTCTCTCTCCTCCCTCCCTCCCTCCCTCCCTCTCACAGATTCTGAACCATTCTTCCTATATGCATGAAGTTATCTATATACACAGATATGCGTACGTTAATATACCTATATCTTATAGACTGAGCGCACGCTGTGAATATTGAAAACAAATATGAGAATATAATTAATTTCTATAATTATGTAATCAATAAAATTTTTAATATTATAATTACGTTATCATTGCATATATCAAGAATCATGAAGTCCACCCGTAAGGCATTATCGATGCAATTAAAAACTTGGGGTGGACGTAAAAAAAAAAAGAAGTCTTAGAATTATTAGTCCGGAGGGATGGATAATGGGATCTCGCGTTGGCAATGAATGAAAATAAAATTTTTCCCGGTGCCAATTAAAAAGTTTTGCTTTATCAATATTTCGAGTTTACTCGTCGGTTGGCCGAGTTACGCTCGGCAATGCTTAAACATAGCGGACGATTATTGGGGAATATCGTGCGAAAGGATGCAGCTGACGGTTTCCGTTTTCCTCTCCCTTTTCTTGCGAAACACCCGCGAAACACCCCGACAGAAACGTCAACCGTGTTTTCAGATCCCCCGGTCTCTTTCTCCCATTCCTCTCTTTTGCCCTGAGCCATACCCCTTTCCCAACGACCGTTGTCTTGTTTCGCACCCCGACATTCCGGCGCGAACGCGACAGCTTCTTCTTCCTTGAGGTCCCACGAGCCCCCATCGATTCGTCCTGGTATCTAATCCTTGGATCATATAGGATTTTCAGGCAGCACATGGTGTCACCGAAAACTGTGCCAGACGGGACACAACAAAAATCCCCACAGCTCTCGTTTGCCCGACCTAATACGAATCGGCCATTGCCAAATGCCGCTGGAATAAATTATTTCACGCTTACGCAACGATGGATCATTCAGCTGCCGTACGGAGGTGGACGAACCATTTTTTCACTGTTTCTTTTTATTTCTACGGGATTCCTTGATCTCTTGTTTATTATGTCTTTTTTCAATTTTCTCGTAATCTTGGATCGAATTTTTTTTACACTGGGCTGCCAGTGTTATTCCATGTCGATCATCTGCACTGGATATATAGATGTATATACACGTACATGTATAGATATATATTGAATCGAAAAGAAATTCACTGGCGAATTATTACAGCTGTGAACGACAGGAATGTCTTGAAACGTTAACGAGCGGCAATGCGTTTTATATAGCACGGCCTGTTAACGTAACACGCTTTGTTTTTCATTTACGAGAAACTTAATAATCCAACGCGTCGTAACCCACTCGTTTTGCCTCATTTTCAGGAATAACGAGCCACTTGGCGCTAACAGGGGATACCGTAATTGGTATCGCGTCGCTTTATAAAGATATCATTCACGATTGCGTCTAATTCGTTAATGAAACATCAAAGCCCCAAGTGGTCCCAATAAAAATGAATATACGTCCAGTGAAATTTGAAAATTACTAACGGTAATAATACAATTTTTATTAAACTAATATCTCCTCGACTACATATACACACCACTCGATTTATAATAATTCAATAATACGAGCATGTACTATTAAAGTACGCTTACCAATATGCTAAGTCATCGACGGGAGGTTCCCCGTATTATGAAGAAAAATTACATGCCGTTAAACCGAAGCAAATTCGAACAGCGCTGCATCGTGCTGCTAAAGGCTTTGCCGTAGACGTTGATATCGCGGACAAGCGTAAAGCACAGAAGGAAGGAGTCTCTCACCTCGCAGGAAGGGTAGCGTGCGTCTGACAGGCGTTAAATCCAAGAGACTCGAGCTGTAGCGAGGGAGAGACCAAGAGAAGAGTACGAGTTCACAGAATCCTCGGTCGATCGGTAATCAGTGCCACGAGGACAAAAGTCGTCTCGGCGTGAAATACGAAATTCAGAAGTCGGATTAAAAGTGAAATGTAAGAATAGGAGATTCAGAATGACGTCGTAACGACAGATTCACGTAGTGTCACCGTGCGGTATATTAATAAACAAGTCTCGACGAGTCATCACTGTTGTCACGTGTGGAAATAAATGTTCACAGTAGAAATCGTGGATTTGAGGTTAAAACGACAGAGACAAGAGAAAAAACTACAAGACGGATACGGACAGAGTGCTTTACTTGTTTTATCTTAGTTAAGAGAATATTAGTAATTATTCCTACGAATCTTTCTCGGTGTATACGCGGATAATGCGTAATTCGAACGCTTTAATGCAGTACGAAACGACGCGTCGTTCGAACGGCTGCCGGCTGCCGACTGACTGGCGAGAGTCGTAGGGAGGTTTGCCAACCTACAGCGGAGCTCTCGCGCGTTCTCTACCGACTCGCTCGTACTCCCGCACCACCAGTAGGTTCTATCCTTTCCCAGAGGACGTCCTAGTGCGCCCCACTGATTGCCCGCACGCTTTACTCCTTCGGCCGACAAGCGTTCGTCCGTTCGGGACAGTCGAGGAGAGTGTAAAAAATTTTCCATTGCCGTTAGAACGTGCTATAGTAATAAAGGTGGACTCTGCCGAAGACCAGGATACGAAATGTCTGGTATACCTATCGCCAGCCAGAGGTGTGATTACTTTTCAATAGGGATAACGTTCGTCCAGAGATTTCCCTGGAGATAGATCGGCATCCTGTAACAGGACCGATAGTTATTCTCTTCTGTCCTAAGGATGCTATGAGAATCTAGAAGAATGGCTGTACGAACGCCTATATACGGATATTGTAAACGGGTCTGTGTGTTTCTGACGTGTCGATATATTCCCACTAAGAAAAGCTCTGCTGCTGAAGCTGAGAAATAGCCCAGCCTGAACCTTCTCTCCGGGTAACTCTTCGTCCTCTTCCTCGCGATCTCTCCGTCCCCTTTTCTAGCACTCTCAGTATCGCGCATATGTACAAGCTTTCAACCCCTCTTGGCCAAACGCTACCGCGTATCTACAAGGATATCAGTGATGATCCATCAAGGTTACACCTTTTTCTTCGCCCTCCGTCATCAGCCACCTCAACTAATAAACTCATCAATTCTTTTAACAATAAAATCAAAGATCCAAAGCACGCGTCTAAATACAAATTTTAACTATTGATCGTACATAACCTCTACCGCGTACTACCTGTGTATATGACATATATACGGTCATTCCCAGTTTCTACTATGTACCTGTCATCCACTTCTTTTTATCCACCCCCCAATCCACCGCTATATTTTCCCTCCGATTTCGATGCCAGTCCACAGAGGGTGAACACGGACGCATCCCGCGAGCATCTCGGGGGTGGTTTATGCACACGTACACCCAGCGAGGAAAATAGGTGCACGCTCGTTCACGTAGTAAGGTATTAGATGTATTATTAGCACTCCGTCACGTTCCTGTCATCACCACGTACTCTCTGCACACGTCGCGTAGTTCCTATAGTATACGCGTGATTCGAAATTGAACGTGCAGCCCCATGCGAGCGTGACTTTATGTAAGAGTGCGAGAAAGTGGACGGATACCTAAAACAGGATGGGAATAGATAATAGTGAACGTGTATATGTGCGCGAGAGAGAGAGAGATAGATAGATAGCTTTACAATAGAATGAGAAAGCAATAGAAGAGGACACGGAGTGTCCCCAGGAATTTCGAGGAATTTAGGATTAACGATCGATGTTCGCTGAAAATCGATTTGGCATAGGCGAACCATCCTGGACCACCAGGCCGGATGTTATCGATGCTAGGAAACTTCCGCACGCACCCACTCCCTTCCCCCCTCTCCATACCACCCTGAACAATCGAAGCCGTCGAAAGCCGTTAATTGCTCCTCGGCACTTCGAAACGAATGGTCGATGCACGAGCAGCACCCAATGCTTTCCTAGGTGGCAGGGAACTAATTGCAAGTTCGGCAAGTACGAACGTCAATTGCACCGATTCACTCCTACCAGTATGGCTTTGGTATGCCTGGGATTTACAGCTGACTTTGGCAACGGCTTCTAAATTACTTGACATTCGTTCCCTGAGAATATTATATTATCTTTCAAATTATTAAATCGTATCGCGTTACCTCTTGCGTCCTTTAGCACGGACACGAACCCTTCTGTCGCTTGACTCTGTTAGGGTCTGAATAAATCTCTAGCGGATATCCGGACGCGAAGTAGATGAGCAAAGAATTAGTCTAATTTCTAATTAGGCTGTAATACGAGTCCTGTGTACTCTCCTTTAGATTTTTCACCCATGATCATGTGACGTCCAGTGTTCTATATAAATAATTACGTAATTAATTGAAAATTGATACGACGTCACCTTTAAATAATAATATTGCTTAGATACGGAAACAGCTACGTCGCAAATGAGTTTACGGAACCAAGCTCTTGTCCCAGCGCGTGTCAACACGTAGAACGTCGACATCATGGAAACTGGAGATACCGACTGTAACAAATGGGTGAACAGGTGAGCTAGATAAGCTTAAACAGCTGTTTCCGCGTTTTAACAGCTAAACTTCGTTGTTACTTCAGTGGAAGAATCTAAGCTGCACATTGAAACTCCTCTTCCTTGGTATAGACCGGTGAATGTGCATAGCAGTAGAGACTGCGTGTGCATCCCTCTGGTGGAACAGGCAGCTAGGATGTCGTTTCCGTAGGGACGTGTTTACATGCCACGTTTATTTGCAAGAACGAAGCGAACTGTCCTCTCGGTATACACCTATAGTGAAATTACCATGAAATTGAGTATCATGCAGACGCCATAGAGATTTCTCTCTTACGATTGGCGTAAAGGGGAAATCTTTTAGGTGCTTGGGGAAACGAGGGAGAAAAATAGGAGTAAACGAAAAGTATAAGGCAGACCACGTAGTTCTTGGATGATATAAGACTTTTCGTACAGTGACGAACGATTTCCGAGTAAACTCTTTGAAATTAAACAGTTGATTGTGCTCCAGTTTCCATGCGCCTAATCAATCACCCTGCGAACGGAAGTCGTATGGTTATTTATATGCATATACATATATGTGTGGTATGTATTTTAAATGATTATATAGTTACGTATGCGATGGGTCACGTAAGAAATGTGGAAAATTGAGAAAGAATTTTTTTCACCCTTATAACTTCAATGATACATTAAAATTGTTAGGGTGAAAAAAATGCTTTCTCAATTTTCCATATTTATATATGAGTGTGTACGCGTTTGTTGTGTGAACGTATATTAAAGTGAAAACTACAGTACCGTATTTCGAGAATATAGAAAGCAGTGTTTCTGGTATCTTTGAGAAAAGCGAACGCGAAGAAACTTAACGGACAGAAGACAGCTGCGTCGCAGCTGGATTCTGGCATCGCGACGGCTGCCGTCTTCCTCCCCAGGGGCGTCGCACTCTTGGTATGTACGCAGCACGTGCTCCAGCATCTCCGCGGGCCTTCTTCGTGGCTATTTTGCCTTAGTAGAAAGCCCCAGAATCTCATCCCAGATGTCGAGCTTTAACTATACTTAGAAAAGCTGCCAAGTCCAACCAAGACGTAACGATTAATATATTCGTTTGGTTTACATTGAGCTACTGCGCAGATACGTAGTGAAAGCGATATGGGATATGTGTGCATCTACTGATATCTTCACTTTGAGACCTTAATGATCCTCAGTCAATAACACTTTTGTTCTCTTCCGTTTATAACCGACGTATCCTGCTCAACCAGTAATAGACTATCGATTTTCGGGAAATCCCCGTATTACAAGTTGCAATCCACGACAGGACGTTTTCCGTAAACCTTTTCCATGCGCACGGGGACGAACAAGCTCGTACTTACCGACGGGAAAGATCAACACTTTTGCCGAGTATAAAGACTTTATTTGCGTCATTTAATATTCACATGAGTTCGCAGACTCACGGTTTAATACAGAAGATTCAACTGGAATGGCACTTGAGTACGCACGGACGCACATCGTTTTATGATCAACCAATTACGTGACACCATTATCGTATTTTATTCATTTTTTTTTTGTAATAAAACGTTCATGCTCGCTATTATTGTCGGCTAATGTAGCAAACATAGATCTTCGAAGAGCGTACTAGCTGCGTCCCCGTGAGACAAAAGTAAAAGATATCGATTCAGTTGAATTTTTCTTGAGAAATCGATTCTTGTTTTTTATATATGTTTGTCTTTCGTTTTGAATATCTTGTATTCTTTCACATTTTTAATAAGCTTTGTTATTTCCTTTTTTGCTCTCTCTCTCTCTCTATCAGTTGTTAATATTCAAACTCGGTCGGTACTTAACCGGTGTCCGATGTGCAGGAGGACGACTCGGCATTACTATGTTCATTGTTGCTCTCCGTTGATGAACTGTTGTTGCTCTTTATTCGCCGTTTGCGCAGCTTAGCAAATTGAAACTCCTCGACTGGCACTGTACATTAATAATTGAACTTTGTTATTATGATTGACTACGAGCCGATGGCTTTATCACATGCCTAACGGATCCAATGGGTGGGCCTGAGCAGTCGCGGAAATTGGGTAAATGAATGGTCTTGCGCCTCGAAAACTAAAACAAAACTTATATATTTTCTTATCAACACGAGAGCCAACGAGCTGCATTGTTTTTCTCTTTTTTTCTCTTACAACGCCAATATATATTACAGTCGAAGTGCGAGCTCCTGTAAATTATAGAGTACTCGTTGCCAGGCGTATCTTTAATTTTATTTCTAGATTACCTGCTAAATAGATCACGCACTTTGACTTTAACATGTACATTCTAATGTGATAACATGGTGCTACGTTAGATGCTACGTAGCGATACTAAGAGCTTTACTTTTTTTTCTTGCACCCATTTTATGCTTATGTGTACAACAACATAGACACTTCAGTTTTGCTTTAACTATAATAACAGTGCTAGGATCGAGGATAATTACTCGTTTTGACGCTTGATTTATTTTCTTTTGATTGGCCTAACCAGGAATTATATTTTTCTCTTATTCTTCAATTCATTTGAGCACCTCCTAGAGAGTAGTAGTAGCAACCGCGACGAAAATGAATGGTAATTCTCATAACGCCGCGCGTCATCAGGCAATTTTGGTTTTGTTAAAATTGTAAAGACATGAAGTTATGTTAAGAAAAATTTTGCATCTAGGTGTTGTATTTAAGATACTTGTAGTATTCATTTTCTTATAAATTTATGCTAACGCGTTTAATATTCATACAGAAAACAAAGATTTTCTGTTTGGTACGAAAATTATAGAGAAAACATCCCGCGCATTTACTAACTGTAAAATTTTTTCGAAAAAGTACTAGAAATTTGGAAATTATGTCTGTTCGATTTGTAATACCTAAGCAAAGCACCACTGTTTTAAATATCTTCAATAGTCATAACTAGCATAATGAGCATTAAACTTTAGGAATTTGTAACAGAACTATTATTTGGGCGAATTGAAATCTTGAATATTTTTTTCTTATAACAAGTCCCCAAGAACTGACAAGAAATATCGACTAGTTATAAAACTATTTGAGGTACGGTTGGTTACCATCTGAATCTGGATCGCCATCAGTAACACCAGATGGGGTTGATGATAATGGCACAACCTCTGGCTCTAGTGGTTTTGGTCCTTGGTCCATATCTTCCACAATTACCTCCTCGGCCAAACTACTCCTTACAGCCTCTGTATCCAACAAGTACCAATAGTTTACTTGTACTGTATCTTACTTCGTATGAATTGTATAAAACTTGTGTTAACCATTAAAGGCTTGAGGATACTGTTGATTGAGCTTGTTTTTAACTATACGAATCCTTTTAAAAATGTAGTCCAAATCCCTCTTCATATCTGCCAGTAAAACAGTATGCTTCTTGAACTCAGCACCAGCAGTCTTCAGTCTATTAACTGACAATTGATTGCAATTTGTGAGCATCTCATTAGTCTTCTCGAATCTCTGTAACCTGAAAGAAACCTTATAGTAGTGGTTTACATTGAACAAAACCAAGAGTACAAGCAAGTCTTTCTCAGGACTCTTACATTTGTTTTTGTGCTCTGATCATGGACTCGACATCTTGTTGATCAACAATGCCAGCGAGGCCTTGTACAAAGACTTCCGGTGCAGTGTAATTCTGGAAACACTCAAAGCTCCCAGCATCAGACTCCGGTGTACCTTGAGCTGCTGCCATCCCAACAAATCTTCTATATAACAGTTGCTTATTAGAAACTTTTAAATGTTTCTTCTCTGCACAACCACTGATCACATTACTCTACAGTAACAGTAGTCTCTTGTCATTCATTCCCTGACAATAATGATCCTCTTTTTTTAAACCCATCACTTTTATCATACTTGACATTTACTCGAAAACTTCAAAACCAAACAGTTTCTATTGATCCTCACATATCAAAGTTGACACTAGCAAGTTGTCTGCCATAATAAGCACCAATAAGACAAACATGAGGATCGATAGACGTTGAACGGTTAGTACAAGCACTCGACTAATTTTTAATAATTTTAATAAACAATTCCACAATTTATGTTTATCTCTTTTACTGACACGAAAAGAAACACTCAAGGAAGCAGCCTCGTAAATACTCCAAGCAAAATTCAGCAAGGAGTCGCGACGCGTTGAATTTAACAGCTGTTTTATTAAATGATGTTTTCTGCATAGATAGTTGATACAGAGCATTCAAATTTTCAGTGACTGTTGTGCTCGTACCGCCGCTTCTACCGTAGCTTCAGAAATACGTACAGAGGAGAATTCTCGGAAGATTTTGGAGCAGCTTCGATTAGGAATGGCACAGAATATCAATCCGTTCTACTCATCGCAGAGCACACCGAGTAAGGCCAAGGAGGAGAAGCAAAATGTACCGAAGGATAATCATGCAGTGAGCAAACGGTACGTTTTCACTGGCAATGGCACAGGTACGATTCGTGGCATCGTACCGTGTACCTTCCATACTATTTTTCCACGAAAAAGAGTCCACGTAACTAATACATTTTTTGAAATTGAATTTCGACTATTCATCCATTAGAGAGTCCATTTTTTTATGTTAACCAGGTGACCCTTGTATATTGAAGGATCATACATGATTTTCATGTTTTATGGATATTCAAGTAGCCTTGTTAACGGATATTTATGTTATTTTTTTGTTTACGAATCAAATCAGTGAAAAATTTTCAATACAATAACGCTGAAGATCTTGGTTTTTTATGCAGGCTGCAGAAAGAACTTATGGTACTGATGATGAGTACGGAGAAAGGTGTTTCTGCTTTTCCCGATGGTGAAAATTTATTCAAGTGGATTGGAACTATTACTGGACCACTAGATACGGTAATTGATTTGTATTATTAACACCCCCAAGGAGATATTGGGTAACTAGAGGCAACTCCTGTGTATTCTGTGTCTGAAATGAACTGTATGGCATTTCAAGCTTCTTTAGAACTTACGTGCTTGCTCCAGCATATCTTCTATGCCCACTGTGCCCAATAACCGTCAGACACAAAATCCCATAAGACTGACCTTTACTAGTATCTCTTTGATGTCAATATTATACTGCTCTCACATTTTGAGAGGTAGATTAATTAATATTGTGTTTATTTTGTTACAGGTTTATGCTGGTCTCACATACAAATTGACACTGGAGTTTCCACACAGTTATCCTTACAGTGCTCCAATTGTACGCTTTGCTACACCTTGTTTTCATCCTAATATAGATACTGTTGGAAATATCTGTTTGGATATACTAAAGGACAAGTGGAGTGCCCTATATGACGTGCGCACTATATTACTGTCTATACAGTCTCTTCTTGGGGGTAAACTTAATATTTTTATTTCTTGAAATTTAGGATACCGGATCTCGTCCTGAAGCTAATAAAAGTATTTAACTTTTCTTCTCTAGAGCCAAACAATGAGAGTCCTCTGAATCCTCAAGCAGCAGAGCTTTGGAATGACCAGACAAAGTACAAGAAGCACCTCACCGAGGAATACCACAGGGTCCTCAATCGTACTCAACAAGACTCATGATAAGTGCATTTCAAAAATTTTATCGGCTCATTTACTGCTATTACTATAACTATTATTATTGCTATTCTTAAGAATAAAAGGAATCGAAAAATATGCGTCCCAGATGCACGTAGATCGTCGCTCAGGCGTCGTTTCTTATAAAAATCACGAGAGGAATCTCGTAATCGAAATAAATTCAGCGAATACAACAAGACCGATCCATTAAAATTATTGTATTATTCAATCAAATTAACGTGACTACACTATCGTATTTATTGTCCTCACTGCTATTTTTTATCTCACTGTAGACAAGCCACTGAAAAATCCATGTAGTCACTGATCTCAATGACGCATATACATTAAATACTTTTATTATCGTGTAGTTCAATTTTTGATGAAAACAATTATTTATTTTACATGTAGTATAATATATGTTGACTTGAAACATCTAACACTGACGTACGTAACAATTGAATTTGTAATTCGTTTTCGTTCTGTTTATCATTATCGTGTAGTTCTGAAATAAATATTTTAAAAATATAACGTTATCTCTACAGCAATAACCGAAAGTCATCGAAATCATTTCATTATACTGAATATACTCGTCATTGATTCTCTCAAGGGTAAACGACACTTTCCTTTCCTGTATTCAAAGCTACCCAAAATAAAGCAATCCCCCATTAATTTATTTCAACACAATAAACCAATAAACTGTGACATCAGTCGGATAAAACGAAAACAAGTATCATACCATACGGTGGTAATTTTGCAACAATCTCATCCGCCACGATTTACCGGTTGGTGGCGCTAGTTTTGCACAGGGTTACGTCACTGGTCTTTTATACTTTGAATATGATTATGGAGCTGAGTGATAGGTATAACGAAAATAGATTTATTTAATCGTTCAACACAACAGGCCGCATCCTGCAGAAGACAAAAGCGTCTTGACGCTGTTTATCGAACCAGTAAAACATTGTCCCAGGTATTCAACAAATACCCTAATACTAAAATGCCAGACCAGTCCAGTTCTTCTTGGCAGCCACCTGAACAGCTTATGAACATACTGTGGTTGCCATAAACACGTATCCACCATATCGTAGAACTAAGAGCGATGATGACAAAGTAAGAAAAACAAATGTTCAGGTTACCAGAGACTTTTAAACCCTTCACCATGAATCTTTACTGTCATGAATTTTTTACAGAGTTTTTATTGCCTCACCAGCTTAACTACCTCATGTGAGACCTGAACGCGGACTGAAAGCTAATGATCGATAATAATGGAGAATACGATCACTGTGATCAAGTGATCATGCTGTGATCATATACAGCCATGTATACTATATATATCATTCAGAAACTGGAATTTCTTCCAAGAACGTCTCGGTGAACGATCAACTAGTTTCCAAGAGGATCGGCACCGATATTTAATACATCGTCTGTGTGTTGCAGGTCTGCTCGTTATTTGAAATTAAAATTGCAAAAAGGATGCAGCATGGACGCGTATTCCGACACACCCGTCGCTTCCGGAACGCTCCAGTTCAACGTTCGATGCTGAAGCCAGTTAACCATACACATACCAGTCTCATTACGGACTTAAAATACTTGAGAATGATGGATTCAATTTGGCGCTATATTAAAAAGAAATGAAGTTTGATAAAACTTTCTACCTCTGACAATACTTTCCGGTTCCTGAAATTCAATTCCAATGGCACAGAACGTGCCTAAACTCGGAGGGCATCTGTAAATCTCAAGTAAAGTAAAATATAAAAAAAAGCATCTAGTAAGTTTCTCGAAAATCGAAGGGCAGTCGCCTTCATGATATTTCCTTGTAAGTCGTGAATCGACTTGGCGCAGGCGACAGAGTGCGATCAATGAATGACGTGGCATAAGGCCACACGTGGGATAACCGGTCGCCGGATAAAATAAAGAAAGGAGAATCGTGGAGAGTGTAGGTGGTGCAAGATTATCGTATAATTCTTTCCAAAATGGTTTTGGATATATAGCCAAAATTTTAATCAGTACCACCACTAACAAGCCCACCATAACTTGGTCCTCGTACACCTACAGGTTCTTCAATGAACATATTATTCATCTATCTACAATCATTATCAGGTAGCCTTATACTTATTTCTTCTATCTAAATCATCCCAGAGACATGCATTTACGTAGCTATACCTGGTGCACGTAGGTACATACCTATCACTGATCTATGTGTATAGTGCGTGGTAACGCATGGTCGCGTATGGCCATGCATAAGGAATCCTGCCTTGGATAAGGTATAGAAGCTGATACGGTGCTAAGAATACAGACACGCCCTTACAGTTTCTCCTGTCTCTGCACATTGTAAAGAACATAGATATTCTATTACATATATAAATGAAAATTAATTGGCAGTTTGTCAAAAGACATTGAAATAATGTTCATTACTGTTTCAGTGTCCATCCGTGCGTACTTGGCCCACTTATATTACCTCTTACAGAATTCAATGGAGTGTGAATGATGTACGCCAGGAAAATCTAATAAGAAATCGAAGTTACTTCTCACATTAGGTCATCCCGCATGTCCCCAGGGTCACCCAAGTCGTCGTACAGTTCTTGGTAAACATGCATGGCATTAATTTGGAATAATTAATCCTTTTAATACAAACACGATCACGTGCCGTGGCCGATAAAATGTCACTAGTATTATTACAGTTGGTAGCTGAATTTTTTAATGTATAATCATAAGTATAGTACGCTTTGTATATGCTGGATAAGTGAACTCTGCTACAGGCAAAAATTCTTATATGGATTCTAACGGTATGTATACATTATACAGGGTTATTAGACTCGTGTCTAAGTCTGCTAATTAACAATGGTATTGTGATATGTATTGTTATAAATATTGCAGAATGTCCTAAGTGAAAGAAGCAGTGATACACAGAGAGGTCAGTCGCAGCTACTACGTGGACGTGTGAAAAAATCGCCTAGGCAGTTCGTGATTTTCGCTTCTCCAAGGAGCCAAGATGTCCGCAATGCGCTTCAGCTTGGACAAAATCGATTCCTTCCCTCATCCTATATCTAAGCTATAGGATCCGTTATATCTCGATACGCTGGAGTAAATCGTGCTGCCTCCGGTATAGGCGTGTCTGTAGCTACCATTACCGCTACACTGTAATCCAAACGTAAGTTAAGGGAGCAGCATGGCATTCTACATAGATGAACCATAAATATAAAATGGTTGCCTGTCACGTTTTATTAGCATGCTAATTTATGTTCAGGTATTATCAGCCGAGTTACGGCTTACTGAAGATTTAACAACCGTGGAACTTTGGTCAAGCTGAAAAGTAAAGCCGAATTCAATTTCGCAATTTGGTGACATCCTTTCCCTTTGACAATGGCGATGTACACGGGTGTCACTGTTGGTCGAGAGGATGAGATTTTCGATTTCGCTCGTATTTTTTATCTTGATGTCTCGCCGCTGGTATGTACATCGTGAAATCCAGTCTGCACTCTGTAGAAAGTGGAGTGTGCTACATAATTATTTTTCAGTCTGAGCCAGAAGCATCGAGCCCACTCTGTACTTTCTTTTTTTACTGTACCCCTTATAAGATTGAGATACAGTCAATAAGGTGTACGACTCGATGCTATAGATAAAGATAGACTATAAAAGTGTAACCATAAAAAAGAGATCAATGACCCTGCGTATCTAAAGTTCAAAGGTTACCGGTATGATGTGCCATGAATAACACAAGGATCAGAAAATAATCGCAGAGGGTGAAAAGGAAAGTGGATGAAAAAATCGAGTTGAGGAAGGATGAAAGATGTCTAAAGTCATATTAAAAATTATATTATCCAACCTCAGAGCAGTGAATGTATAAAATAATTCTACCATATACAAGAACATAGGGCTGGGCTGGCGTGTGGCTATTAAATGGATTAAACCCAGACAGCTCGTTACGGATTACTTCCCTCTAATTGTCTCTATTTATTTAACGTGGCTCTTCCGTCACGTGCCTGCCAGGAGTTGCGAATAAAAAGTAAATGAGATCCGAGGAGAGGAAAAGTATTTATACAATATCCAAGGGAGGAATTACATGCGATCTGACACAATTCGTGGTCTGCGCACAGGTAGCATGTAAAGTGCGCATGTCCTGACTCACCTGAAAATCCCTATAGGTGAATTCTAGGAGAGAAGTGAAAGAGGTAAAAGAAAAAAAAGGTAGAATGTAGAATGATGGCGGGTGCAGCCGAATATGGCCAGTACGTTTCTCGCCTGGATTCAAGTCGAGCTGAGTCGAGACTCTACCTCTCCTCGCAATCTTTTTCCCTCTTTCACTGGCAGTGGAGAGAGGGAGAGCGTGGTCGTGTAAAATACACGTACGGATACGCCATAAGTTTTTTTTAAAACCCTCGCTCCTTCTCTCTTCACCTTTTTCTCTCCAAGGATCATTGCGTTTGCTCGCTAACGAGACAGCCTCGTTAGGCGTAATGTAATTAAGTGTAACCGTGGGCCAAAGCGTTTTGGCACTACCTGTACATTAACCCGTTCATTGTTAAACTAGACTTGTATACCTATATCGTATAGCGTACTATAGGACACCATGAGTATTGCCATGGATATATTGATCATTGGATCCCATGTTTCTTTTCGTACCTCATTTAGTTCCTCATGTTTATACAGCAAAGACTAACATATAGCTATATACAAATAATTCTGAACATCCGGCAATAAAATTTTCAAGATGGTCAATAACCAAGAGAGTACTTTGTACATGTTTATGGGTATAATGAAACATAAGAGACATTTATATTGAACGTATTTTTCTATAGTTGGTATCCAAATGTACTTCAACCACAAATTGTTCTTTTCTTCTACAGTCTGTCTCCTTTTATGCGTTCTGTATTACGTATTACGTTATAAGATCTTCATTTATATATCTCAGTTAACGTAGGCGTCGTCATACTTATATGCTCCGGGTACTTGAACTCGATTTACTTGATTTACTTTATTGTATCAGGCCATCTTCTTCGACACTCTTTCAGCGATACTTTCAAGCTGCCAAAAGTAGATGTACTGCAGTAAACTTTACTGCTCTGTACAGTTCATATTTGACGTTATAAAGTATGACGCGGATTTATCATATCCAAGGCAGATATACTCGACTTACCATTTTGGCAAAAAAACGATATTATTATTGGTTAACGATAATTTTATTTTATATTTATATTTATTTAAGACGTTAATAATTATATTGTGGAAAGTAGGACGAAAGTAATTTCTTTATTTTTTATGGCTAAATTTCACATTTTTAATAATTTTTAAAACATTAAACAGAACATCACATACCAAACAAAAATGTACTACATATATGTATAATTTTATTTTTCTTTAAACTCACTTTGAGGGAAACGTATTTCACAATCCACCAACCCCTTTAAGGCAAATAGGGATCCATATATCAATGGTAAACGTGTATCAGTCGTACAAATGACGTCATCTAAGCGTCGTGCTGCAGTAAACAGCAATTTCCCTTGGTACCTAACAACACGGGAGAGTGCGTGAGAGAATAGTGCGTGAGTTACACTATAGTCAGGAGTATGACTCAGCCCGGACGAGGAGACCCAACGCCGTGGTTGTCACCGTCGTGGTCGACGTCGACGGCATCAGGGCGGGAATACGTCGTGGCGAGGAGTGAGGAGGTGCAGACAGGAGTGGCGTCGAGACGAAGAGTCGTGCGAAGAGGAACGAAGAGGACGAGGCCTTGTACGGAAGTTCGAGTGCACGCGGCCCTGGCGCTGCTATCGATCGTCTCCGAGAAAGTGGCCGCGTGTCAAAATCTTGGCCTCGATATACGTACAGTATTCCGCTTCTCCTAAACGATCTACTACACTCGTTTCTCATGATACTTTATGAGATGCAATTTCGTTTAATACTTTTTAGGCACTTCGCGTGTGTTGGCAGATAATTTATAAATAGATCTTGGCGAACTAGAAATTTGTATTGGCGTCTTCCGTCGCGGACACCATACTTGGAATCTTGGAACGTCATATTTCTCGTGGGATTGTTATCGATTGTGATCATGACGCTTTGATTGAATTGAATGATAAATTTTAGGGATTGGTACCTACTTGGTAATCGTGGTTGGCTAATTGAATAAGTCACTCGAGCTTGTTTACAGTTTGTTTCGTTTCGGTGTCGAAACGCCTTTATGCAGCACAAGTGACAGGCACAGGTTCGAGATATATATCGATGTAAATTAGCACTGTAGGATTTAGTAAGACGGTTTATGGCGGTTAATTTAAAAAGGCTTTTGGTGGTTTCGACCAGTTACACTTTTGACGAATAACGGCCTATCCAAAACGAATGTATGTCGGTGTATTATTTGTTTTTTAAATTTATTGTAGAAAGTCACTGTTATCGAGGAGAAAAAAATATCGATCAATAATGAGTATTCATTTTTGAGTCATTTAGATCATAACGAATATATTCGACAAAGTTGATCTTACCAGATCATTTATTCACTATAAGAATTCTTGTGAAGGTAGTTTCAACGAAGTGCTAAATAAATAAAAATATTTATCTACCTCTTGAATTTTATCAGATCAATGATAAATCATTTCAAATGATTGATTGTGTATAAGAGAATCTGAAAAATCCGTTTACTAAATTAATATGCTCTCCTTATTCCTCTTGGCCATACATAATTTATATTTCCACCTATACCCTCGTTAATCTAAGTGCGTCCTGCGAGCTATAACGCTCTCGGAAGTATTCCCCAATTTCAGGAAAAATGTTTGGGGCCCTTGCTCCTGCTAAATAAATTATTTTACCACAGCGCGCTCCATTGGCCAGGACTATATAGTACTTAGACATACACCAGCCATCGATCCTTTCATCTAATTGGACATTATACCTAAACGAGCTCATTTTCCTGAGCCCAACCTCAGTCTATCTTTCAATAAGATCAGGTAGTTACAAAAGTCTGCCTGGAACGAACGAAAACTACTGAAATTATACATTAACATACTTAGCTATGCCTAACCTTCTCCATTTCATATCTCAAACTGAACTTTCATTTTTTACTACAATAAAAAAATTCTTATCATCTTAGCTTCGATTGCACGTCCGATGTCGTTCAACCCTCAACCAGGCATTTCCCAAGGCTTCGCTTCATTTTCCCTCGGCAACCCGGTAACAGGACACTTTCGTGCATGTTCGTCGACGTCGGCGTCGTACAGGCGTCGCTGGAGATCGATAAATACGAGGCGAGGTCCGCCGGTTCGAGTCGACTGGGATGAGGTTTGTTTCACTGCCTGCCGTCTACCCTCTTCATATTCAGGGTGGTTTTACACCATTCCGTAAAACCTTGTACACTGGGTTCAAGGGTGAAGCCTTGATCCGTGTTAATAATCACGTACACGTGCGGTACCATTTATGCTATGAACTTTCTTCTAACATTTTTTCCATTCTCTTTTTTTTTCCAGCTATTTACAACCTGCATCGTTAAATTAACGAGTGCCAGACAATTCTCATCGAACAATTTTTCTATTGAATTTCTTTCGTAGCTATTGAATGTTTTTCACGGCAACGCGTCGCCGCTTTAAAACGGGTATGATGTCACTGGTCGCTTATACGTCGCTTAATAGCAAAGCCAATAAAGGACAATGGGCATGGAACAGCTGGTCAAGCGTATCCTCGCATGCTCCTACCCCGTACATACACGTCCTGTTGCACGTTATACAATCTTATAAGGGAGCCAATAGAAGATTGTTCTTCAAGAATTAGATGTGAAATGGAAAGGATGTGGTTAGATAAGATACTCTATTTTTACAGATGTCCCCTATCCGACTTGGAACAGCAAGAAGAAAAGTTTCCTGAGTTCTCCATACAGCTTCAGTTCTGAACCATATATTCTATTTTTGAAAGTCAGACTTTTAAAAAAAAAAATTTATTTCAAAAATATTTCTTAGTTTCTATATGACTTTTTTATCTAGTCCAGCTGTGGATATATATCTGGCGGTAATACCAATTGCTACAGTGGCATTTTCAAATATTCAAATGATTCCATGCCGAAGTTTCCTGTGGAATATAAGGTCTGACGTTTACCTCATAATCTGTCAATATCAAAATGAAGTAAGGTACTACATATAATTTTTCCCATCAATTCCCACGAAGTTTCTCCTTCGCCAGAAATTTCGTGTGCAGAAAGACTTTCTCTGTATCGAAGACGTAAATTCATTAAATCCCCCCCGCCCCCCCACCCGAAAAAAAGAAGGTATATAAAG